TCCAGAAGAGATGAAAGCAGACACCAAAACAGCCTTTCCATGAATGTTTAGGCCAGCACTATGCATAATAGCCAAAAACTTAGACCAACCTAAATGTCCATGAGCTGGTGAATAAGTAGACAAAATGCATTCTGTCCATCCAGTAGAACATTATCAACATTGGAAAGGATCTAACTACCAACATACGCTGCATCATGGATTTCTCATGTAAGGATTCATCCCAACATGGATCAGAACTGCAGTTAAACCTACAATGAGAGCATCTGTACTGAACATGTACAGACTTTCCCCTTGTCGTTATTGCCTAAATAGTACAATGTAGTAGTTAGATGGCATTCATACTGTACTAGCATCATCTATGCTGTACTAGAGTCATATGTGTTATAAGTCACCTAGAGATGTTTTATTTTTTCCTTTCTTTCTATTGGAATAATGAAACATTATACTTAGGCATACATGTGGTCTCCCCTGCCGCATGAGGGAATTTGGAAATTATTTCTACTTATGAATCTAACTAATTAGATTAACAAATCTAAACTTAAATGTTTATCTTAATGTTTACAGCCAATTCAAGTCTCCAGACCAGGAAAGAATAATTTCAGACATTCTTTTGCCAGTATCTCCCTAATCAAATCATCTGCAATTGTAATACTTGGGTCTTTCTCTCTTTTACATTATGCTTAATGATTTTCTGTGGCATATCAGTTTCTTGATTTCTTTGTCCATAGCATCATTTCTTATATAACACATCTGTCTTTTTTCTGAATTCGTTATCATTTTTTCAAGAATATTTCCTGAGGGGGAGGCTGAAGAGATGGTTCAGCGGTTAAGAACACTGGCTGTTCGTCCATATGACCTGGCTTCTATTTCCAGCACCCACATGGCAGCTAACAATCATCCATAACTCCAGCTCCCAGGGGATCCAACACAGTCTTCTGGCCTCTGTGGGCATTGCATGCACATGGTGCACTTACATACATGCAGGCAAAACTATTCATACACATAAAATAAAAATAATAAATAAAATGTTTACGAAAAGAATATTTCTCAGGGCTGGAGAGATGGCTCAGCAGTTAAGAACACTGGCTGTTCCTGTAGAAGACCTGGGTTCAAATCCCAGCACCCACGTGGTGGCTAACAACCATCTGTCGCTCCAGTTGCAGAGGATCTGGCACCCTCTTTTGTCCTCTGCGGGCACTGCACAACATGGGTGCACTTACGCACATGCAGACGTAACACTCGTATGTGGAAAATAAAAATAAATAAGTAAATAAATAACTAGAATCAGCTTCCTAGTTCAAGACACCATTATCTTTAAAAAAAAAAAAAAAAAAGAGCACTGACCGGCCTTGCAGAGGACCTGGGTTTGGTTCCCAACACCCACATGGCGGCTAGAAGCCATCCTTAACTTTTGTTCCAGGGGACCCAATGCCCTCTTCTGACCTCCATGAGCATTGAACAACATGGGTACACTTAATACCTGCAGGCAATACACTCACACACATAAAATAAAAATAATGAATTTTAAAAATATATTTCCTGAAGATTTTTTCCAAGCAAGTTTTATGGATGAATTTTTTTTAAGTCTTTACATGTACAAAAACATGATTTCATCCTTACTGTTGAACAATACTTACTTTCCCTCAGAACTTTAAGGATATTCCGTTTTTTACCAGCTTCCATTGTTGCTGACGATTATTTCTATATCAATCTGATTCTCAGGCCTTTGGTTCTTCTCTCTAGAAACTTGAGATTCTTCTTTTGTCTTCAAGCTCTGCTGCTTCACTGCCCAGAATCCAGGCATTTTTCCTTCTACTCAATGCTCAGCACTTGGTGGTTTGCTCATCTGAAGCTATCTTCTCTTTTCCTCAGGGACATTTTCTGTGCTGAACGCTTTCTTTTCTGCTTCTTCGATTCTTAGTTAGACATTGAAACTTCTTAGTTGTCTGACCTTTAACTTTTACTTTATATTTCTTTGTCCTTTTGTATTATATTTTTAGAGGCTCTTCAAATTTCTGTTCAAATTTCCTATTTCTATTTTTCTAACTCGCACTGTAATTCCAGTTAGAGTAGGCGCATGTCTCTGGGAGCAGTGTGCTTTATATATACAATATTATAATTTGTCCAGAAATGAATAAGCCAAGCAGTTTTTAAAGTATGTGCATGTTTTGTACATTTAACAAGTCTAAAGACAGAATAGTTTACAATTCTCTGGCTAGACTCCCTCTGGTGTCCTATGTAGCCTGGTACCCAAAAATATAATGTCTCTGCCCCCAATTCATTAAATGTCATTATAATTCATTACACCCCATGTTACCCTCTTTGTTGCATGTGTATCTCTCCTTCAAATTGCTGATTATCTTTGTCTGTTTGGTGGTTGTTTTGGTGGTTTGCTTGTCTTTGTTTTACAATTCATTCACCTACCTGAGTGTTGAGTAAATTACCCCCAGTGATTATGGGGAGGAGCAGGAGTGCTCTTTGTCTCCTGAGGGTCAGCAGCTACCTGTGACATTGCACTTCCCAGAGCCTACTATGCATCCTTCCTGCTTTAGCCTGTGGATGTTTGGCCCAGCTGTTCAAGATGCAGCTTACCTGTTAATCATCCTGGTACGTGTCTGGATCGCTCCACCTCCAGCCCGCTCTGTCCTCTAACTCTAGCTTGAAGCTCTCCCTAACCATGCCTACTATTGAAGAAGTTGTATCCTGTGTTACTCAGACTGTGGCTTCCATTGGTTGCTCTCTCCCTGCCTTACCTTGTATCCTTATAAATGTCATCTTGTCTGTTTCCAGAGTACTGCTGATAATCTTATTTTCCCATGTATTGATGTTCATGATAGGTGTTTATTAAACTTACATAAATGCCATTTCCTTAGAAAAATTTTCCCTAGTCACCAACTTCAAGTAACTTTCCAATTATAGTCTATCATATCACCTTAAAGTGTTTTCATTGTAGCATTCACCTCTAGTTAATATCAACCCTAAATACAAACTTCACTGGGCACTTACTGCTCTGTTTACTGCTGTCTTAAATTGTTAGATGGTACCTGGCATATAATAGGCATTCAGTATCTATCCTTTTAAAAATTACATCATGCCAGACATGGTGACACATGCCTTTAACCCAGTACTTGGGAGGCAGAGGCAGGTGGATCTCTGAGTTCAAGGCCAGCCTGGTCTCTACCTAGTGAGTTCCAGGCCAACTGGGGCTACAGGGAGACCCCGTGTCAAAAAGACAAACAGAAAATAAATAAAAATTATGTCACATTATTTGAATTATCTTAAAGTTTAGGTTTTGAACTAGGAAACTTAGCAAATAATTTTAATTTGGGGGGGGCGGTCTTTTTTGGGACAGGGTCTTCCAGTAGCCCCAGTTGGCCTGGAACTCACTATGTAGACCAGGCTGGCCTTGAACTCACAGAAATCCGCCTGTCTCTGCCCCCTGAGTGCTGGGATTAATGGCGTGTGCCACCAAGCCCGGCAATAATTTTTAATTATTTATTTTGAGGGCTGCAGAGATGACTCAGTGGTTAAGAACACTGACTGCTCTTGTAGAAGACCCAGGTTCAAATCTCAGCATGATGGCTAATGACTGTAATCCCAGTTCCATGGGATCCTCTGACCTCCCTGGGCATTACATGACAGGGGTACACTTACATTCGTGCAAGCTGTACACTCATACACATAAAATAAAAATAATAAAAATTTTTAAAGATTACTTTTTACGTAAATAAAAATTTAATAAGGATTTTTTTTTCTCTTTCAAAATTGGCTGTAATTTTTAGGTTCACAGTGTTGAATTAATATAGTTGTACATTATTATACTCAGTATAAACCCTGTAAGACAAAATTATAAATGACATTTTAGCCATGTGGGTGCTGGGATTCAAACCTGGGTCTTCTGCAAGAACAACCAGTGTTCTTAACTGCTGAGCCATCTCTCCAGTCCCAGAAAAACTTACTTTTAATGCAACTAATACTTAGATGTTTGCACATGCATCTCTAATTTCTATATATCTGGTTATTACTAGTCACAGTCGGTTACTTTCTGAGATCCTTGGCACCTGAGCATGGAAATAAATTCGTCAGGTAGATTTCAATGGTAACGTTTTTCATATCTACTAATTAACATGAAGCAAATTTTTATGCTTCTTCCTCAAATATAACTCATTTTTTATTTTATTTTGTGTGTGTGTGTTTCATACAGAACATCCCAAACAGCCTTATTCATCTTTATACCCTCATTCCAAATGGTACCCTCCCATAGCCTTCCCCCACCCCCAACTGGAGCCCATATACGCTGTCATCCCTGTTACTGTCCACTGTGTTGTCAGTGCCCCCAGCCATTCCCCAGTGCAAGTCCATCCACTGAGTCTAGTCAGCCTATCTAGAATTCCTTGTTTTAGGAAGATCAGCTCTTCCTCATCTAGCAGCAATCAGTTGCCAACATTCCTAATAAAGAATTTTTTTAAACACGTTTCAGGAGCGGAATATACCTCAGTTGCAGAAAACTTACCTAATGTGCATCATGCCTTGAGTTTGAGTCCCAGCACCAAAAAAAAAAAAAAAAAATTAAGGTTAATCCCTTCATTTAGGTTGGAAACATGGAAAGGTCTACCTTGTAGTCACACTGTGACTCCTCCTATAGCGACTTCCACGTCTCTAGTAAGCACATTAATTCTCCTTCAGTTTCCATATAATTAATGTTACAAATTGTAGCATTATAGAAAATAGTTTTCTACATAGAGAACAAGTCTATTCACACATTTTTCCTTGAAACGATTCATTTATATCAGAAAAGGAAAGGAAGTCATTTTATAGAAACTGATCAAAATCCCTGTTTCATAAAGCAAAAAAAAAACATGTGCATACAAATCATCCAGAAGTTTACTGTAAATGTATATTACTTCTACTCTGAAGAGGAATTAACCTTATAAAGGAATTAACATTTTGCCTTTATAATTATGGAAATTATTTTAATTTTGTCATCTTTTAATATTTAGGCAAAGATGCGATTTACACAATCCCAGTAAAAAACATTCTTGCTGTGGAAAAACTGGAAGAGAGTTCTTTCAATAAGAAAAATGTAAGTCTTATAAATATTGAAAGCATTTTAAATGTCTGTATTAGCCTAATTTTTTTAAGTTATTTTAGTGTTTGCCATTCAGGTTTCTAGGAATGTCCCAACCTATCAGTCCACTATTTTCCCTCAACACATGCCGGCTTCTCCTGCCAGCCAAGATGGTGTCCTTGTTCCTCATCATTTCCCCACTGCTTTGTTGTTCCTCAGATTTTCTCCTACATCTGAAATCACTTCCCTTTATTCTTATAGGCTAGCCCATTCCTTTGGACAGATGTGGCTTCTAGAAATTACAGTATACTGTTTAGTATCACCTGACTTAGATTGTCTTTGGGACTGACTTGCTTGAAGAGTACAGTTCATATGACACCTTAGCAGCCCTTACCTAGCCAAGCAAACTAGTTCTCTTAAGTACGTTTTCTGTTTTGTGTACTATGTGTTGGTTTTAAGACTAACTTTTTCCCTTAATTGCCAATGAAGATGTTCCAAGTAATACACACGGAGAAACCACTCTACGTCCAGGCAAATAATTGTGTGGAAGCTAATGAATGGATCGATGTACTCTGCAGGGTGAGCAGATGCAATCAAAACAGGCTCAGTTCTTTTCATCCTTCCGCATATCTCAATGGCAACTGGCTCTGCTGTCAGGAGACCAGTGAAAATACACCAGGCTGCAAGCCATGTACTGCGTAAGTTTCTTTCTGATTAAAGAAGTGGTGTTTCAAAATGTGGTATATCCATACAATGGAATATGGATATGTAAACATTATGCTACGTAGAAGTATATATTCAAAAAGGCTACATACTGTTTGAAAACATTAATATAACAGGTGTCCAGGGGCTGGAGAGATGGCTCAGTGATTAAGAACACTGACTGTTCTTGCAGAAGACCCAGGTTTGAATCCCAGCACCCACATGGCAGCTAACAGCTGTCCATTAACTCCAGTTCCAGGGGATCCGACAACCTCTTCTGTCCTCTGCAGGCATTGCACAACACAGGTGCACTCACATACATGCAGGCAATACATGCATACACATAAAATAAAAATAATAAATAAAATTTGTTTTAAAAAGGTGTCCAGAAGTGCTGGAGATGTTGTTCAGTGGTTGAGTTTTTTCCTGGTACACACAAGCCTCTTGTACCTAGTATCACAAAGAAAAGTATTCAGGTAAATTCATAGACAGAGTGGTGATCAGGGACTGGTTGGAGACAGAATGGAACTACTGACAGGTACAGGGTTTCTTTTGTAGGTGATAAAATTAATGGTTGTGTATGTTTTGGGGAAAAACAAAACTTTTAAGATAGCACAAGTCTAAAGGGCCAAGGCACAGCTTGGAGGTAGAGCGCTTGCCTAGTGTAAACAAGGCTCTGAGCTCCATCAAGACCAAAAAATAAATCAGCAGCTCAGGCCTGTGCAAGATATCCAAGAAGTCTATTAAGTGACCAGTATTAATGCATTGCATTTGTAAAGAAACATGAGTTACAGAAATGATTTTATTGGGGCTTGAGAGATGGCTCAGTGGTTAAGAACACTTAATGCTTTTACAGAGGACTCATGTTCAGTTCTAGCACCTACATCTGGCAGTTCATAGCTCCTGTACTTCTAGCTCTAAGGGATCTGATGCTCTCTTCAGACCTCTGCACACACCTACACCCATGTGCTCATACACATTAAAAAAAAACTTTAAAAATGGCTTTACTTTAAAATCTTCTGCATGACCAGAGTTACATTAATAACCAAACCTTGTGACCCTATTTATCTATCAAACTAAAATTTCTGAGGTTCCTTTTACAAAATTCTAATTCTGGTGTTAGTCTCAATCCATCAAAAGTCTTTCTCATGTTAACAAAGTGGAATTTTTCCAATGTTTTTAATTTCCTTTTTATCATAGAGGTGTCCCGGCAGACATCCAAATAGATATTGATGAAGACAGAGAAACAGAAAGAGTTTATTCCCTTTTTACCCTCAGTTTACTTAAGCTGCAGAAAATGGAAGGTAAATACACACTCTACTTCTATAAAACCATGCTCTTTCATTACCAATTATTTCTTTGACTCTTTAAAAAGTTGGAAATATTTATAGATGTACAAAGTTACTAATATAAAGTTTACAACCCCCCCAAAGGAAGCATTGGTCCTAGATATTCATGAATTATAATTACTATTCTTAAGTAAATGTGGTGACTCTAACATATTTTAGTTACGAATTGAACCTGGGTCCTCTGCAAGAGCAGCCCACTGCTCTTTCTACTGAGCCATCTCTCCAGCCAAGATAGGCCTTATATTTTAGAAGGTGTTAGACATTGGTAGATTGCTAGGAGTACTTTCCCTGACATAATGATCTATGTTGGTTTGATTGGCTTGTCTATAATGTATGCTATTTTTATCTGACCCAAATTAGATAGTATAGAAAGGACTGCAATTTTTTTTCCCATGATAAAATAGGATATTGATAGCCAAGCATGGTGGCACACGCCTTTAATCCCCACATTTGGGAGGCAGAGGCAGGTGGATCTCTGAGTTCAAGGCCAGACTGGTCTCCATAGTGACTACCAGGTCAGCTGGGGCTACATAGTGAGGCTCTGTAAAAAAACCAAAAAAAAAAAAAAAAAAGGAAAAAAACCTTGATGTTTTAAATTCATGCTACAAAAATGGCATTTGTAGAATTTAGTTGTCTGATCGGAAATTTCACTGCTCCTTATAGAGGCTTGTGGAAGTATAGCTGTCTATCAAGGACCACAGAAAGAGCCTGATGATTATTCTAACTTTGTAATTGAGGATTCTGTTACGACCTTTAAGACAATTCAGCAAATAAAAAGTGTGATTGAGAAGCTGGATGAACCTCATGAGAAGTACAGAAAGAAAAGATCAAGCAGTGCAAAATATGGGAGCAAGTAAGTGTTTTTTAAGCTTCCTAAACAGGGCCTGGCCCACACATCCTCTTGCCCCATTGCAGGCTTCCTGCTCATCCTCACCTGTTGGGACCTAACCTTTCTCCAGAGCAAGCTTCCCCACCATTCACTTGGGTCCTGTTCAGTTCAGTTGTCATTACATGATGTTGGTGCTGGCTTTATCACCACTTTCAATGTCATGGTCAGTTGTAATTCATTCCTTGAATAATTAGTAGCTCTTTGTTTTTACTGTCTCCTTTATATCCCTCACAGCACCTTATATGTAGTAAGTACCAAAAAACTAGGCTATAACAGTGCTCAAAAATATTTTATAGTTGATTAGGAGCTCCATCACCATCTCAGATGTAAAGGATGAGGTGGATGGCAGCAGTTACTGACGTGTTGATTGTAAGTACCATGCTAGTACTTATATCCTGTCAATTAGATTACTCCCAGCCTCCTGTAAATCCTGAGGGAAGTGACTTAAACAGTAAGAAACTTTTTAGCCTCTCCAATGAAGACCTAACTTATACAATTAGTTAATTCAGGAACTGAATGCTGTCATTGAGGACTGTCTGCCTCTTGGCCTAGCCCCCAAGATAATCTCCATCTTCTTCAAGCTTATTCCTTGTGGTAACAGATGGAACTGCTGTAGTTCAGAGCCCCACTTTTTTTTTTTTTTCTAAGATAGTTTTCAAAGGCAGCAAAGGTAATGTTACCTCCCTACTGTGAAAAACAAACCTTCTTTAGAGTAACCCTCAGCCTCTTCTGAAACACAGGACTACTCAGTACTCAAATCAGAATCCTTTTGTAGCATAGTAGATAGGGAAGGTTTAGTTCTTGGCCCAGCAAATAACATTTTTCACAAGGTGTGCTCCCCTATCATTGCTCCTTACATCAGCGCAGCATGGTTTCATTCCCATTTTATAGCTAGAGAAACTGAGATACTAGGGAGCTGAATGCCGTGCCCAAGATCTTAGACACAATTAGTAGGAACAATCTGGTTGCACTGTTTTAAATACTCTTTGAAAATTATGTAGATTAGTATTTTTGTGTCTGAACAACAAAAATCAGTTTTATTGGTATAAATATTTATGTTCTTCCTGGATAGAAAGTACACTAAAAAAGGTTTTGTTGGAAATGTCCAAATTTTGTATTTTCTCATATGAATGTAATTAGTTCTTTTCCAACAATAGTAATCCAGTTTTCCTGGAGGCCTGGGAAGTTTTCACTTAACATCCTAGCCAATGCTTGACTGTCCTTAAATAGCACCTCATACCACACGCACTGTACCCTGGCCAGCTTTATTTTCTATATTAGAAAATATAGCCTACTGTAAGCCCAGCCCATTGCCCTTGCCATATACTCAGCACACCTGTTTTCTTTCTTTAAAAAGTAAATACCAGCTTTGGGCTGGGAGTTGACTTAATGTTAGAGTGGTTGCCTAGCATGCAGTCTCCCTAGCACTGCCAAAAAACGAAACAGAACCTCTTATATTAAACCTTCTACTTACATAATTTTCCTGTACCAGCATGTGAACTTCATGTCTGTGTTCTCTCTTTTGTTCAGAACTGTGTCCTGAGCTTCTAGAATAGTGCCTGAACTTTAAGGAGTGATCAGTAAATACTTGGCATGAGAGATTATCAAGGAAAATTAGAAATGCTTGATGGATTCTATATATGGCACATTTTTAATTTGTATATTTCTTTTTAAAGTGTTTTTTTTTTATTGTTTTATAGGGAAAATCCAATTGTTGGGAAAATATCATAGAGTTTGACCAACTGATGGAGAAAAACTGGAAACTATTCTTGTTCTTGGAATTTTTTAGTTCATCCTGTTTTGTTCATTGTGTTTAAGAGTGAGCATTGGCTTCAGTGTCACCTGCAATTCACATTGTATTTAATATTTAATGACCAAAATCAACTGTTTGGGGATCCTGGTATTGATTTGTTTATTACATAAGAGAATTTGAAGCCCAAGATTCCCTTCATATCTGTGTGTCCATATCCATGTTTCTGCAACTTCCTTTTAATAGAAAGAATCTTCTGAAGAAGGTTCCTAAGAAGCTTTGTAACAAATGGAGCACTTCATAGCAAGAAGCCGTCTCTGCTTGTAACTGTTCTGTGGACTTGTTTTCACTACCATTAGTGCCTGCTCTATACTGCCAACATTGTGTTTTACTAGAAAAATTCCAGTTCATGTTAGTTTAGAAATTTCCTTTGAGTTCATCTGGACCCTCCCTCTAAAAAAGCAAAGAAAAAAAAAAAACTTTTCCCTTTGTTCTATTAGTCATTACAGGTTATAGAGATAAAGGCAGAACTTCAGAATAGTGCCAGAGCATCCTTGAAAGTTGGTAGATCCTTTTGCCTGCCTGTTCACGGATGTAAACAGTACTCAGATGGGAATCAGGGAATATGTGCTCTTGTGTACACCATGTTTACATTTGGGATGAGTGATAGCGGATGAAATAAAATAAGACCACTAGAATATTTTTCACTGTTCTAATCAGGTACTCATTTTCTTGATTTGAGGATTCAGATTAACATGACCCTTAAGGGCATCTCTTCCCAACAAGAACAGAAAGTAAACAGTGAAGAAGGTGGTGAGAAAATCACTTGACTTCGCCTGCTATTTCATGTTATAAGAAGGGCATGTAAGGATGCCCTCCATATATTGTTAGGTCGTGATCTAACTTGAGAACAGTCACTTGGCGCACTTTAGTAATCTGGTCCATTCCAGATTACAGTTGAGATACTCCATGGTATCTATCTTTATGATCAGTTGAATGATCAGTGTTTAAGTCTAGAATAGTGCTTTCCTGAAGACGTTTATATTTCATTGCTGTTTCCTTATTGCCTGCTAGCCACATGGAATTTGGGTCAGCAACAGTTTGAATCTTACTTTTTCTTAATCTACTTTGGTCCTAAAAACCATAACTGTAAATAAGCAGTTAAAGTAAGTTGCCACCTTTACAGTTACGAGGGTTACACTTTGTTTCATCAGTATTGAAAACCATGGTACTCTTTGTCTTTTTTAATTCAAGGCATTTTCTAAGTGTGGTACTTTGAACCTTGGGGGTATTTACATATGTTCCTGTTTGAAACTGTGACTTATTAATGTAAGTCTAGCTAGTTGTGCTTTTCTGTTTGTTTGTTTGTTTGTTTGTTTCAATGAGCTTAAGCTATATTTAAAGATATATTTGCCAATTATGTTATTGATGGGTAATTGTTTAAAGTTGTTAGTAGGTAATTATTTTAAAGATCATTGGCACACAGAGTTGTCCCATAAATAATCATGACTGAACAATGATTTGTAAAGATCAGTTGATTATCTTAAGGAATCGGTACTGGTCTGCATCATGCTCGGTGATACCTGCTGACCCCATGCTATAGTTTAGAAGATCCTTTAAATTTGATGAACTTACAGATCCATAAATTACACTGCTTTGTAGATGTTAAAGAATTTATCCATTTAATTGCTCATGAACTTCATACTGAAATTCATACCAAGATTCTCTGAAATGTCTACCTGAAAAGTTATGAATGTCCTAGATACCATTCATCACTCTCCAGTGGCTTTTGAATTTTCTGCTGGTTTTTTGTTTTGTGTTTTGGGGATTTTTCCCCCAAGAGGAATACTCTCTTTCCTAACATTTCTAATACCAAACCCCAACTCCAGTTATTTTTAATAATCATAGGGTCAAAGGGACCAAGGCTGTGTGCACACACAACTCTGTATTTGAGAGTTCAGTCTTCTAATTATTTTATTCACGTGACACTTTTAAACAGCCAGCTCAATTGGAATTAACTGATCAGCTTGGCACAGTTTAAAAAGAGAAATATGAAATTAAATTCATTTTCTTTGAAGGTCTTTTATTGTAGGAGATCGTGTCTGCACACCTTAACAGAGGAGGCCCTTCTGGGGCGGTGCTCCTGAGTACTTTGAGTCTTACTCTTCCATCTGCTTTCGCTACTTCTTACAAAGAGCATTTGAACTCACAGAGATCCGCCTGCCTCTGCCCCTAGAGTGCTGGGATTAAAGGAATCCGCCACCATGCCTAGCTCTGGTTAGCTTCATTTTTAATATTCATTTAATAGACAGTGAGCAAGAGCAAAAGTTTTTTTACTCCCAGGAATATAATTTATCAAGTAGAACTATTTTATTTGCCAAAGAAATTTGTTTTTAACATCGTGAGTAATTGTTAATAGTTAAGTGTCAAAACTAGGCTCTTATTTTACCAAAAAAAAAAAAAAGGGCGGGGGGGGGAATGCTGTGGCTTTTGTTTGTTTCCGAAGCCTGATTTCATTCTTTTACTGGAAAAACTCATTCGTGCCAGGTTTTAAAAAACAGATTATGTTTTTAAGTCAGCACATCTTTTAATTTGCTTTAAATACTGTTGTACGCCCTATAAAAACAGAGTTCTGCATAACTTTTTAGGTGTCCTTACAGTATGTGACAAATACAAGACTCATTCTAGAGTTAAAGTACTGATTTTGATTGATGTTATCTGCTTCCATTTTTAACTTTGGAATTAATATGTTGCTAGTAAATATTGGTTTTTACAGTGTCTAGTTTGAAAAAATGTAAGTTATCAAAACCTAATATAGTGAATTTGTGTAACCATGTTGTATTGTTAAGAATGTATTTTTATTTAAATTTTATTTTCTTATAAAGAGTATTACAAAAATTAAAAACTTTTGTAACTGTCGCTTGAAAATAACTCAAATAAATTACAAGACGCTTGTTCTTTGTGAGATCTTACTTAGTGATTTAAGAATCTGTTTAAAATTCCTGGACCTTGCCTGTTGGTAAGGGAATAATAGAAGATTCCAGCAGCAAGACCAGCGAGCTAGAAGGCTCTGTCCTTTCCTTGCCCATAGTTCTGCAAGTTTTGATACAGACCATTTTGTTATTTATCAGGGATGTAGCTCAGTGGTAATGCACTAACTTAGCATTGAAAAGGCCCTGGGTTCAATTCCCAGCACTAAAAACAAAAAAACACAGGTTGTTATTTATTCATTCCCCAGCAGGGAGGCATGGAGGAATATTTCCACTCCTAACTGGTAAACAATTTAGAACTAAGCCTGTTTGACTTTTCAAAGAAGGCCACCTTCTATTCTCAAAAAAAAAAAAAAAATCAGCATTTAAGCCTCTGATTACTCAATTCTACACTGACCACTGTGGGTGCCCATAGCTGCCTACCACACAACCTAACCTATGGACATTATCTTTCTGGGTGTTAGAATTTGACCATGCTGTGATATTGACAAGTTATCTCAAGAATACAAAACAGCAACACCAAAGACTAGGTCAGGGAGAACTTATGTCCCTATATGAGAAGCCAGTTTCCCTGTTGGTGCCTCAGCAGTTCTTAACATCCCTAAATAAAACCTTCCATAAAATACAGCAGTCCCTGTGACTCCAGAGGAATTTAAGCTTGCCAAGAAATAGGGTTCTGAATCTCTCAGGATTCTATTGAGAGACTATCCTCCTTCATTTAGCCCATGTGTGGATTAGAATTTGTATGTGGTATCACACATTTCTATCTGATGATTTAATGGGGTGGGGAGGGTTGGTGGTTAGTTTTCAGGTTTTTTTTGAGACAGGCTGTCATTAAGCCAAGGCTGGCCTTGAACTCCTGATCTTCCTGCCTCCACTCCCAAATCCTGGGATTACAAGGCATGCACCACTATGCTTGGCTCTTTATTCTATTATTTAAACAAGTTGTTCTTTAAGGGAAAGGGAGCCACACTTTGAATTTCTTTTTCCAAATTACATGACTCCAAAATGAGAATCACCCGAAGACACAGACTCTTTTCTGTTGCACATCAGTGGAGCGTGCTAGATGCTTGCAAACACTTCACATAGTCACTTCTTGAATATACTTAACATTCTTCAAAATAAACTGGTGTTCTTTGGTTTTTCATTCTTCATACATATCCTCACCTCAAGTTTGAGCTTTGGTGACCAAAAAAGTTCATGTGTGTCATTGTACCATGTGACTTGACTGCAGGGAGAACCACCTGCCATCATATTCTGAGGCCTATATGTCACATTGGCATCAGAGAAGCTAAATTGTTTAAAGACCTATTGAGATATATTTTGTTTTCTGCCTTCTGTTTCAACACTCCATTGTTTTGTACTATTTGAAACATTGTTTTTTTTTTGAGATGGAGTTCACTCTTAGATATGTAAATTTCACTCATCCAGGAAGAGTTCTTTGGAGCAGAAATAGCATTGCCTTCCAAATTTAACATGCTTCTCAACTCCGTCCTCAACCAGGACCACTCTACCCTGCAATGTTAAAGAAGCCCTGTTTAACATTGATTCTCAAATGGAGAAGTGGTCCCTGAGAGGCAGATCAGAATCTGCCAGCAGAAATAGTGGAGCTGGGAGGGGGAATAGGTGTGCTTTTAATAGCACAGTCAACATGATATATAGATGGAAATAGTTGATAACAAATGCAAAATTTTTTTAGATATTTGCAAATAGCCAAGCTTGATGCACATGCCTCTAATCCTGGCACCCGGGAGATGAAGGCAGGAAGACCAGTTCCAGGTCATCTTCAGCTTCTTAGTTCAAGGCCAGTTAGGACTCCATTTAATCCTGTCTCCAGAAATTAATACATTAAAATCATATACCGTGGTCAGGTCGGTTTCATCCCAGGAATGTAAATATTGTTCAGCATAATGTAAATCAGTGAATTCGGTAAGGCACAAATAGAATCAAGGATAAATGACACAGTCATATCATTGAGTGCAGAAAAGGCCTTTAACAAAATTAAACATACATTCATGGTGAAAGTTCTGGAAAAAACAGGTATAGAAGGAATATACCTCAGCATAGGCACCATAGGACAGACTGATAGTCAACAGTATGCTAATGGGGAAAAACAAAGTAGCTCTTCTAAAATTAAAAGGAGATAAGCATGTCCATTCTCACCACTTGTTTGGTTTCTGTTTGATAAAGGAATATGCTCAAAAACAACTTGGGGAGGAATAGGTATATTTCATTGTACACTTTTAGTCCATCAAGGGAAACCACGGCTGGAGCCTGAAGCAAGAAATACTACTTACTGGTCTGCTCAGCTCTGCCTACACAGCCCAGGCCCTCCTACCCAGAGATGGCATCACCCACAGTGGGCTGTGCCTTTCTGCTTCAATTAGCAGTCAGGAGAATGCTTCACAGACCTGACCACAGGCCACCTGATGGAGGAAATTCCTCAGTTGAGGTTCCCTCTTCCCAGGTGACTTTAGCCTGGGTTAGATTGACAGCACTAACCAGCACACCACTCTTAATTCAATATAGTGGTTGAAGTCTTGGAGCAGTAAGACAAAAGAAGAGGTACAAATAGGAAAAGCTGAAGTTAAATGGCCCCAGAAGATGGCAAAACCTAATATTTATGGGTTGGCAGAAATACTGCTGGAGAAATGAACACGTTGAAAGTGACTCACAGATTCAGAACACTCCCTGTTGAATTCCAGTGAGATTCTTAACAGAAACGAAAAAATCCTAAAATTTGTGCAAAAATCTCCAAATAGCCAAAGCAGTTTTAAGCAAAGAAAAACAATGCAGCCAGTGTTCAACCTCTGATCCATCTCTCCAGTCCTCATTTAAGTCCTTTGAACAAGATGTCTTGAACCTGAAAACACCCAGTCTAGACCTTGACCAGGAACAGGATGACCTGAGTGGGGTCAGAGGTAGACTAGGGGATGGAACCAAGTAACATGATCCACCTACCTTTTTAGAATGGATCTGACTGCTGTCTTGAGAAGTCTTTAGGAAGAGAGGACAGACCAGCTAGACTAGTTCACCATTCAGGCAAGGGTAGCGAGGTTTTAGTTACATTTGATTATAGAGCCAACAGGATTCATTGACAAGTGCAATATGAGTGAAAAAAGTCTAGAAAGATCCAGTAGCCTTAGCTTCCGCAAAGAGGGGCCATTTACTAAGATGGAAAGACTCAGGAGGAAGGTGCTTGAAGGCCTGTAAGATAAGTGCATCTGAATGGTTCCTGGAAGCAATTTCCATTTAACCCACTGAAGTACCAACATATTTTATCTGTTTTTATGGCTTTACCATAACTTTCTCATTAAACTAAATGACTCCAAGGGTAAGGACAGGCTTTACTGTACCCCACAGCCCTTTGCTCTTCTGTAAGCCAGACAGCTCGGTACTCCACAAAGGGGCAACATGCTGCAGTGACTACAGACTGTCTTTACTATGATCTTGCTCACAAAGCCTGTTTGGGTTTTCTTTCTTATGTAAGATTTGGAGTCCTCAAATGTACACAGGACCCACTGCTGAACCCAGGGCCCTAAATGCATCCCTTAGGCTGCTCACATGATCCTCACAACAATCCTGACAGAGCTTATGCTGCCCAGTGAGGCTGAGTGACTGCTGGCAGGAGGAGGTGTGGCTCCCAGAACTGCCCCTAGGCCAGCAATGGAAGCCTAAATGCAAGACTTCAAAGAACTGCAGTCAATGTGTACCTCTGTCCTCAGTGGGAGATGCCACCAGGCCCACTGGCCAGCCACTGAGTGGGAGACATCCAAAGCGGGCCACAGAGCAGCAGAAATGAAGCCAGGGGCTGCAGAGATGACTCAGCACTTAAGCGCACTGGTTGCTCTTGCAGTGGACTGGGGTTTGATTCCCCGCAGCCACATGGCTGCTAACAACCATCTGTAACTCCAGCTCTCCAGGGGAATCTGACACCCTCTTCTGACTTCTCAGTCATTGAACGACAAAGGTGCACTTACATTCAGGCAATACACTCATACACTTAAAAACTAATAATTTTTTTTAAAAAGAAATGAGGACACCAGATAGGGGAGCAGAAAGCAGTGTGGGCCAGCCCTGTGGAGTGGGAGCCAGGGGTCCAACCTACAGCCTAGCACAAAACCACCACTGAACACCAGACAAGGAAGTATGGGAGATAGCCATGGTCAGACATCAGCAATTTGGAGCCTGGGATCCAGTCAGGGAAGACAAATGCACCAGGTGGTGGCTCTGGGCCTAGGTCCCTGAGGTGAACCCTGTGTGAACCCTAATAGTTACACAGGGCTTCCAGCCCCGGGCACTATACCACAGCCAGGACTCAGGCCAGCAGCTGGGAAGCTGTCCTCACATTTGTTTCCCCACATTCTGCTCAGCTGCCTTCTTGGTGATGTTGCTGGACATGCTCACTTGTCCCCAGGTCCTCAGTCCTGAACATGCTTGTTGCCAACACTTCTTTCACTAACAGAGCTTTACCCCAGCTCCATGGATCCACAAGCCTGTGGACAGCCTTCCAAGCTGCCAGGATGGAATAGGCTGCAGGCTTCCCCTCTCTCTAATTCAGTCCCAGGCATTAGGCTTAGACACTCAAAGCCTATCGTTCAGATAGCCTCAGAGAATCTAGTATAATCCCCTGAAGATGTTATCCTGGGGAGTGACTAAATCTGGGTCATCCTGGGGAGACACCAAATCTGGGTACATACTAAGACCCCTTGAGACATGGCCCTGCACCCAAAACCTGAGAACCAGCCAGGGTGGCCCTTTTTTTTTTTTTTTTGTAAAAAATATTTTATGTTTATGAGTATTTTGCCTGCATGTATGTAAGTGCACCTGTGCCATGCAATGCTGGCGGAGGCCAAAAGAGGGCATCAGAGCCCCTGGAACGGGAGTTGGGGACAGCTGTTATCCCCCATGTGAGTGCTGGAAACCCAACCCAGGTACTATGCAAGAGCAGCCAGTGCTGCATA